GGGTCACTTTGTCTACAATACCACTATGGTTCTATTATACCGAAAGAAAACGTTCTTGAGAATTCATTTCATTTGATCAGTTGTTTTGTTATCTATGACCTTAGTTTTGCGTGTAAACTACTGACAAAATGCTTTTGATTATTGAGGTATACATTTTTAGTTTTATTTATTTACATAAAACACGTTAAAAACTGTGTGTGACGTTCTATGGGGAGAAAAATTGAAGCTACATTTTTGTCCAGAAGCAAAACAAGGAGCCATCTCTCAGCATTTGCTCAAGGATCAGGGAAAGTGGACGAAAACCTGATCAAGAAGGGGGTCATTGACCCAGAAGCTGAAGTACAATACTTGTAACAGGTTCTTAAGAATTATACAATCCAAATAGTATATAATACTATAGTAATAATGTCATAGTTAAAATTAATATTACTTTCCTTTTGGATACTCGGTTTAGTCTCTAATTGTATAGAAACAGCTTTGCAGCAGACTTCAACTTTTGTATCGAATTTAATCGTTTTATGTCATCTGGCAAGGTGTTGTACATGTATTGTATGTGAATTTTTGTAGTGAGCTGTTGATACTGTCACCTGATGAATATGATTATTACGTTGAGTGCTGTAGTTATAGACAACGGCGTTTACTGAAAATATATTCCCACCCTTACGTAAGTCATTTTTGACAGAAACCACTGATTCATATGTGAAGAGACAAGGTAATGGTAAAATACCTAGATGAATAAAGAGAGGCTTACAAGAATCACATGGATGGGATTTGCTTATTATTCGTACATTTTTTTTTGTAATCTAAAATCTCGGCACTATGAGATGTATTTCCCCAGAATATTATGCCATATCTCAGGCAGAAATGAACATTCGCGAAATATACACAACGAGCAGTGTGGAGGCTGACTGAATTTGAAAGAATTCTGAAAGCATAGCATAAAGAACTTAATTCAGTGTTCAATTCATTTAAATGGACGCTCCATTTAAGGTTTCACTGAATTGAAAGACCTAAAATTCTAGTTACAAACTACCTCTTTGGTTTGGAGCTACTAAGCAAAAGTAACTACAGCTTTAACATTCTATTTCTGTTTCCCAAAACATCATCCCTGTAACATCAAGAAGAAATGTATCTTCCAAGTATCTGAAATGAGAACTTTCACATAATTCAAAGCAGAGGCCACGAACTAAAGAATTTTCAATCTATCTAAAAGACTTAAAGAAGACAAGTAAAGAATTAATAATTATTCCAGTTTTCAAACGCGAATCATTGCTATGAATACGACAATAATATTTTTTTTAGTTTTCTATGATCAAACATTGATATGATTATAGATGCTCCAGTTTAATAAAGTCGTACTAAGAACTTGTTTGACAAAATCTCAATTCAGCACATAGTAGCCTACATTATTAATCCAGCCTCACCCCCTCATCCAATACTGTCTAAGGTATCTCGATAACACACGCTGAGAAAGAGGATTGCAGGAAAACTTTCAGCGCGTCTTCGATCGAGGCAGCATGGCTTCTAGGTAAATTCTCTGAAGGATAAGGAAGTGAAGGTTGACCTCTGATGGAGATCAAAAGACCAAGTGATATCGTCTGTAAACAACAAAAACATACGATGTTCATCCTAATTGGCAGTTTGCGCTGAAAATTTTGGAAAAGATTTTGAGAAAATGTCGTTAAAACGTTTCTGTAAAAGAAATTTAAAGCATTTTGACAAATGCAATAAGTATACACGTTGGTGGTAATATAAGTATTAACTGCATGAGAGATATTAAAAAATACCTTTATTTCATTTTTGAAGAAAAAAAACACAAAAGAATGCTTGAGAATGGCATTGATACCATTATGCTTAGTCTATTTCGCACTATCCGTTCAAAACATTTAAAGCCATTTCCAAGAAAATGGCGTTTAAGCGTTTCTGAAAATTCGGAATTTCGAGCTTGTTCACACAAAAACTTTTGAAATTTTGAGAAACTTTATTAATAGAGCCTGCAAATGCGTCCCCCTAATTGTTACTTAGAAAACGATCACACATCTTTACGAATCTGCCTATTTAAAGCCATGTTATAGAAATTCTGAGGAATTTTGTATTGCATATTTTTGTATATTTTGCCACTTATTTTCCGGTTACTACATATTTCTGTACACGCAACGTAAGTTTTGAAAAAGTAAGGGAATACGTAATAATTTATAAAAATCAAACTTCTTGAAATTGATGAATTATGATTCATAGTTATCCTGGTTTATGGAACAGCTCACCATAAAGATGTGAATATACTTTTAGACTCATAACTGATGTCAACTAGTGCAGATCAGCGTTGCCAGATTATTAAATGCGTATCCCAGTACCAACCTTCAAAAATCCTGGTACTAAAGGCAATTGGTTCTGTAGTTGTTCATATTGTAACTATTTTGTTTTTATCGCGCCCAGAAAGTTAATTGGAAAGAAAAAATGTTTCCACCATAAACGGAAGACTAAGACGTTATATCCTTTTCTTCTGAAGCATGTACTGGAAAATTACCGTTGTTTATCTCTCTCAATGTTTTTACGGAAGTGTTTTCACAGTTATCACAGTTATTTGTAATATTAAAATTCCTGTTAAATTGTTGAATAAAAAAATTATACGACTCTTAAATCGGAAATCAACAATTACCGTAGACTTAAAATCCTGGTGTTTTAGCATACCAGGATGTCTTCATCCTGGTACTTGGATCCTTCATTAAAATCCTGGTAAATCCAGGAGCCGGGTACGTCTGGCAACACTGATGTAGATATACTATATTTCGCTTATACCACGTTCGCGATCAAAGATAAGGTAGAATTTTGGGCGAGGAGGTACGGGTCACGACCAAGTTCAATATATAGTTCTTGTAATGTTCTACAATATGTAGTTGGTCTTGCACGGCTCTTGAGAGTATACACGGGTCGTCCCGCTCAGTGTCTCGGACTCGAATGAACTATAAACCCGTTATAGACCGTTGGCTTATCTGCCAGGAATTGTTTTCCAATGTGGGCCGTGTGCTCGCTGGTCGTCAGTTGGGCTTAACAGAGAAAGATCTCTCTTATGTCAGGTAGCAACACCGCATGCCCAATGTATGAAAATATCTGACAGACGGAGCAGTTTTTTAGAAACAAATTTAGAAATACATCTTGTTATAAATTTAAACAGTTCGTGAAATAACTATAGCAGTCATGTTCTTTGTGCAGTGCATACATTACGTTATTTATATTAAATCATCTCAACTGATTGGCGAACCAATTTTTCAGAAACAAATTTAGACTTGTATCTTGTCATAAAGTTTAATATTTTTCACCTAAATATGGAATGTTCTTAGTTCAAGCTTGTAAGACATGAGAAACGAATTTGAAGTTTATGAAAAAAAGTATAGTTCAAAAGTATAAAAAGTTTAGTGAAAAAGTAAAGTTTATAAACAAAGAATATCGAACTGTAACTTGTCGGAGACAAAATAAATGTTCAAGTTAGACGAGACTAAAGTTGGGGAGGTTGAATTAACTTGCCGCGATCAAGCTCAAAGTCAATACGTTCTATTTTATTTTAAATAATTTTTTTAGCGAGTTAACGTGAAGAAATGAAGCTTACAAGATTTGTGGAAAGTTTTCCATAATTTTAAAACTTGAAAATTTAAATGCAAGCAATGTACAAAAAAGTCAATTTTTTTGCAAGACATCTATTACACGGATTTAGATGGCACATTGAGAAATTAAATTTTACATTTCCAAGCACACTAAACGAAGAAAAAAAGCCTCCAAATTTGTCTCCAATGGTACGGTTTCTTCATGAAAATGACTTGCATATGCTGTATCTCAAAGTTGATATTGCATATCGGATGTGTTTGTCCGCTCAACGATATTGCAGAGCTGAAATATCTTTTTCGTGTTTGAAATGGGTGAAAAAATATCTGGGGTCAAAAATGACCGAAGAACGATTAAATGCGCTTTGCTTCGTTGGGTTGGTAATAGAATCCGAAATTTTAAAATCAATAAACTGTGATGATCTCATCAACCGATTCGCTGTCCAATCCACAAGACCCAATTTTGTGTAATGGTATTCATTTTATGGTAAAGAAGATTGTATTATTAACTGAGTGAACGCTTGAGAAATAATTGAAACTTTGAGCACGGATAATAGTGCTCAGTTCAGTTCGTAAATCCGCCTCTGGGGATGGGAATTTCAAGGTGCAATTAAATCACTCAGGTCGGATCTTTTGACCCTTCCCTGGAGTGTTACGAAATCACAATAAAAATAATAAAAATATATTCTTAGCTTTGTAATGTAGTTATCTTTGTTATGTAATGGAATTAACTTTTACTTTTACATTGGGAGAACAATGGAAGAACGGACCAATTGAGTACTGCAGCCAAAAGTTTGAAAATGTTCAAGATGCACAGTGAGATCTAGGCCGTAAGGTTAAGAAACTTGAGTACTATTTAAAACGCCATAAACATGTGCAGAACGTAAATTGGACATGAGTTTTTCGTGCAATATCAGTTCATTGTTATCCAAACTGAATTTATGTACTTAGTTTCAAAATTATGTTAATCGTAAATTAAGTAATTTTCTTTTATATTTTGGGATAACATTATCCCTCTGTCTCTCCACGATTACTTCATCCGTCTATCAGCGGAGGTACATGGGTGTAAATCCATGCATTGTTTCTAATGTGAATGACAACTATATTTGAAATTCCCTGACATCACTACACTTCGATTTTTCTATAGTGGCAGATGACATTGTCATTGTTACAGCATCAGCCTAATAAAATGATTTTTTTATTAATTCGCAAACGCTCTTCTCAATGGAGCTCGTAGCCCCAACAATGTGCATACCACTGTTAAAAAATATTCATTTTATGAGGCAGGAGGTGTACCGATTATGTCCTTCGTCATCGGTGTCGTCGGCCACTATAGAAAAATCGAAGTGTAGTGAATCGAAGTGTTAAAAGTGCTACGCAAACTACTGTTGCTGAGTATTGTGTACCGCCACGATCCGCGCGTCGAGCAGTCGCAGAGCTTATATCAGAACTGGTTGCAGAGTCGTGAGTGGTTTGTGTGCGTGGTGTGTTGTAAATTCTTTATTCCTTTTAGACGTCAGCTGCATTGCTCTGTATTGAGATTGCAATTGATAGACTGTATACAAAAAGTACAGGAATAAGTTTAATTAGGGTTTGTTTAAGTTTCAAGAATTTACGACTTTAAGAGAGAAGAATGTCTTCTTACAGGGTGAGTACAGTACTTGTAGGTGAGGATTGACACGTGGTGAAATATGTGCATATGTGACTTCTTTTTCAGCCCATAGATTCAAAAAGGGAGGAATTTAGAAAATACCTGGAAAGAACAGGAGTTATGGATGCTCTGACTAAGGCATTGGTTGCTCTGTATGAAGAAACCGAGAAACCAGAAGATGCTTTAGGGTATCCTTTTAGAATCGTGATAATACTTTCAATTTAAACGTTATTCCCTCAGATTGAATAATTTTTACACACATAGTTATGTGACTGATAATGCGTATGAGATAAAGTGATGCAGGAAGTGAAAATAATGGGCCTTCCCCATTGGAAAAAGAGGTGACATGTATGTATCAAAAATATCTTTCAGCAAATAGTATTTATTTTTTTCCCTCTAGAATGTTAGGTAGGGATTATCGCTAATAGCCATCAATAGATCAACGTTTTCCTTGGTGTTTCATATTGCAAGTGTGTATTAAATTGTTGGGAATGTGAATGAAAGTATTCAGAAGTATTTGAGAGTACATTGGTGTATATGTGCAAAAAAAGTATTTTTCCCCTCTGAAGTTTATTCTAATATGTTTCAATTGAAGTCAAAAAAATTTGTATCACTTTCTCATATTACTATCACTTCACATCTTGTGCAGTTTGCAATCTATTCAGATGAATGTTAAAACGGATGTATTGTTTGTTAGGGTTGTTGCAATTTAACTGTAAAGTTTCCAGTAACTATGTAAAAGTGATTATGGTGATTTTGTGGTAGTGCACTTCTTTGTTCTATTTCATATCCAATTTCAAAATATAAAATTTTCTGAAACATCACAAAAATTTTTATTATGGAGACTGCTAAATTATGACAAAATGGGTAGCTGCTGTTAATTGTTGATGATTGAAATTTTTGTTTTCAAAAGATCCATTTTTATTCAAAAGAATATGCAACTTGCTTTTATCATTACTGTTTTGATTGTTGTCAAGTAATGGGTGTTAAATTTAACCCATTAAAACTTAAAGCAACTAAAATTAATCAAAAGGAAATTTTTCTTAGAAAAGGTCATAATTTACAAACTTTTAACTACCAGGAAAATTATTGTTTCTAGGCTGAAGAATTTGAACCTTTTAAAAATAAAATGCATGAAAATTGTCACAGGTGGGATTAATTTTATTATTGACCACTTCAAAATAAACATTCATTTCCTGATAACAAAAAATATTTTGAAGTCACGAAACCACCTTGTCCTTTTGGAGTGAGAATCTTTGAAAATATGGAAGTTGTAGAAAAAAATTAAAATATAAATTTAATTAATCTTTAGAAATATCAAAGTATTTGCCTTTTTTGGTATTATGTACCATGATGTGGTAGATACGAAAAAAGTAACCAATTGTATTTTCTCAAATTGGCATTTATTTATAAATATACACATTTTTATATTTAAATCTCATTATTCTACTGTTAGTAATTTGAAATAGTACTTGCAGAATATTCCTGTAACTATTATTTAGGAGAAAATATGACAAAATCCTTAATTAGGTATTAGATACATTCAGGGTTACCTTGGTGGTGGTGGTGGTGGAAATGGTAGTGGTGGAGGAGGTGGCATTGGTGGAAATGGCAGTAACAATGAAGAATCAAGATCTCTGCAGAAACAAATGGAAGATTTGAAAATGAAGCCAGAGAAGTTGGAAGGCTCAGTTTTGAAAGGAAGTGGAGATCATTCTAGTGTTGCTCCAAAATCAGAAGAAGTGGTCAGATCTGTGGCAGAGAGTAAACCAGGAGCTGAAGGGGATGCCCCCACTCTTCTCTCCAAAGAAGGTCTCGAGAAGGGTCTTTCTGGAAAAGAAGAAACTGTGATCCGCCCGGCAGAATCCCTTCCTCCTGAAGCGGTTGCTTAATGTGTAGGAAGATTGTCAAGTACTGTTTTTTGGAGTAAGTAGCTATAATTAGTAATTCAATTGGGGGGTTCAGAGGACAAAATGATTAAGTTCGTTTTTGGCAAGTCTTTGTGAGTTAAGAGTTAGAATATAATGTTAAAACTCCATTTTATTTTGGTTTAATGGGTGTACAAATTCCTCAGTTACTGTGTTTTAATAATGCCCTCAATAGCACTTTCTGTAAGTCAATTTGAACTCAATGTTCTCAGTTCCACATTTAGTATCCTTGTATTGTTTGTGTTCCAAGCCCACGGCTTGGAATATTTGTTTTAATTTAAGAGTAATCTGTCACAAATACCCAATTCGGACATTTTTACTTCACAAACTTTTGTCTTTGAAATGCATATAAATTGAGTTTTGTCTTGGAATTTCATGTAAATAAAGCATGTGTTTGCTAAATCAACACATAACTAAGTAGTGTTAAAGTTTTTCTTGATTATGGTATTGCTTGGAATAGAACTTGTAAATCATGCTTCATATTCACTATTCTTTACGCTTCACGAATTAAGAAGATACTGAAACATTTGTCATTTTATAATGGAATTTGAAATGAGTTATTTTAATATCTATGGATTTATCTTCATCAGCATGAAAGGTGAGGGGGCCCTGTTCTTGGTTAAGCAGTAGACCTGAAATGCTTCTGTCTTCCAGGTGTTCTTGCATGATCCTCTTCTTTCATGGTCTTCCCAAATCTCTCTGTCCAAGAGGCTTATATTTTAGGGCAGCCTTTGGGAATATTTCTTCATTCATTCTTGTAATATGTCCCTGCCATTCTTTTCTGTTTCTTTTTAACTTTCTGTTATGTTTCCCATCTTCAATCTTTTCCTTATGTTTTTATTTCTCTGTCAATCCAGTCTAGTACAGCCACTGAAGTGTCATAGCAACCTCATTTGAGCTGCTTCCAGTCTTAGGTTGTCTGTTTTAGGATCAAAGTCTCTGATCCATATAATAGCATTGGCTCGGCTGTCATATTGTGCATTCTTTATTTGGTTTCCTGTGTCACGTTCTTTCTTATATACTTTTTGATTTATTCTATTATGTTTCAAAATTTTGTGTTGCAGGTCAGGGAAGTTATGTCAAATGTCATTGCCTAAATATTTGAATGTTGAAACTTGCTCAATTATTTCCCCTTCAATGCCTTCACTAGTCTTAATTCCTTTCCTTGGAAAACCATTGTTTTTGTTTTCTTTGTTGAGATTTTAATGTCCAAGGTCTTTGCTATTTTGTTCACTTTGTGTGTTGCTATTTGGAGTTCATATTCTAATTTGGCCAGTATTTGAACATCTGCAAATAAGAAAAAAACAAACAATACAAACTGTTCTAAGTTGAATGCCTTACTTTACTGACTTCTTCCATTCTTTGATGAGATTATTGGTATAAATAGTGTAAAGGTTGGGTGATAGGCTGTCTATCTGGCTCAGTTCTCATGTGTATGAAGTAATTTTGTGATGATCCCATTAATCATTTTTATGGCAATTTTTGAGTCCATATAGAATGTTTTTATTCCGGTATTCCTTCTAATATTTTCCAGAGTTTAACCTTATACACCATATCATAAGCCTTTTCAAAGTCTATGAATATCATATATGTTGGTAAGATTCTTTTATTTCTTTGGTGCTTCTGCTCTTGCTGAATCCACACAATCTTCACACATGAAGTTTTCACTGTCCTCATTCAGTCTATTCCTTAATATTGTAGCAAATCATTTTGAGGTGGTTGGTAGTAGTGTTATCCCCCTGTAGTCGATGCAGTCTAATTATGCTGCTTGCTTATGTATATTTGTTACTAAACCTGTTCGCCATTGTGTTGGGGAGTATGATTCTCTGAAGATCACTTTCAATTCCATTTTGAGAAGTTCTGTATTAATTTCATATTTTGTAGGGCTTTTTCGCTTTTATAAGTACTTGTTCAAGTTTTTCTATTATTTCTTCCACTGGTTGATTTACAATCTGTGGTTATGTTTATTTGTCTTTGTTCCACCATTTTGTATAGTGTTTTATTCTGTATTATGTCTTACGTTCACTTTTGTGCCTGGCTTTTTTATGAATTAAAATTAAGATAAGAAAATATCGTTCTAGGAAAATTATTACTGAGTATCAGAAGTGTTGTTGAGTAATAATTTTCATACACATTATGCTGTAACAAGAACTCCAGCTATCCCTTCAATAATGTTGGAACAAGTAACACGAAAAACAAAGCCCTTCATGTTTCTGCATACATCGTGATTTTACCTTATAACAATTGCATTTCTTATTTATTGATGAAAATAATATTTGGCCCTTATGAGATCCTATTGGAATAATTGGATTGATATGGATTGGAATGATATGGATAATTGGATGGAAGTATTGGAATAATAGAAATTCTTATTAGCGTCTTTTAGGAGAAGTTTGTAAATCCAATTTCGAGTCTATCAGCGAGCCTTTTCTAATGGTTCTGAAAACAAGTATTTTTTCCATATCAGAACACTTCCTTCAATCGCAGTTGTTTAGGAACTCAAACCTTTTCTTCCACAGAAATTTGTATGAATTTCCTTCAATTCAGAACATTCGAGTTTTCATTCGCAAGACCTATATTTGTATCTGGTTTGAAAACTATTTGAATGTGTATGTAGCCTATTTCTGTCACCTACAATCAACTTTTCGTATGTTTTGGCCCTTGTCAGTTAGGCACAACTAATATCTTAGAGAATTCTAATCAACTCTAGTTGGTTTATACTTGTATGCATTGCAAAGAAAATGGTATTTTATAGTGTTTGGAAAAAGTTAAAAATAAAGCCTAAATAATATTTCCATATGTACCCCACATTTGTGCAAGAAATTTTCCTCTATGCCCACACGCACCTTCAATTTTGAAAATAAATTGCCATGAATTGAACTTTTCAGATTAAGGAAAGTCAGGTAATAAAGATACGCGAGAACTTGACATAGCCTATTGCAAATGTTAACTTAATTTTTTTCTACCCACAGGACCGACTACCAAGGGCTGTGATATAAACCAAACTGACTATGGAAGAATTTAAATGTCACCAGTATTGAAGTTAAGAAGCTAGTCAAGATGCAATTAGCAAGATGTTCTTTTCCTGAATCTGGTTTTCAACGAAGAAAGTATTTTTGTTATGTTATTAAATTACAATATGTAGTGATGTTAAGTGATTTCAAATTGTGTGTACATCCCTCAAATGTGCCTTTAAAAAGTAACTGAAGATATTTCTGTAAGTAAATAAAGATGTACTTAAATGATTCCAGAGACTTTATTATTGAGACTTTGCAAATTATTACAAGATTAAAACTTTCAGAGCTTTGTGGATAAGGAACTTCAATAATGAAATGAGCAAAAGAAATTGAAAAGCAATGCTGAATAAACTTCCATGCAACTTGTTAGGAGCTCGCTTTGGCAGCTTGTCTTCGCTTCACATCCCAGTTAAATACTCTTGCCATATTAACTTCAGTTGTAGTGAACTGATCCCTGAAAAGGCAAAACAGGAAATTGATAAATTTGAGCATAGAATTTTAACAGAGCTCAGGTTTACCTGAACTTATACAGGACTACTAAACATTCACTCCAGAACGTTGGATCTGTTGGCATTAACTTTAAACAACTCTTGTTTCTTGTAAATTTTCTACACTAAATTGATTCAGTATATGAACATTAGTGCTACATGTCCAAAAGCAAGCACAAATGAGGCAGTAGTTTATCATTGCATTGTCTGGCTCTTAGTCACTACTCCTATCAACTTGGAGGAGCATTGAGCAATTACCATCATCCGTAGGGAAGTAGGTAATGTAGTAGAAACTTTGTTCCTGCATATCTAAATTACAATACATTCACTATCTTATTCTATGGTCTACTAGTTCATTGCTGTGTGTTTAGACCTCAAAACTCGTAATGGTATTAAGATTAAGACTAAGTGTACAGGCCCTTCTGATTATTTATGCACCACTCTTTATACCAATCCAAAATATATGAAATTATTGAAGTTCAGATACAAGCAAATAATTTACTTATTTTGCTTAACTGAAACAAAACTTAGTTTTGGAATGTACACGTGATTTCATCAGTCACTCCTATTTCACTGTCACACATCACTTTTTTTTTTTTAGACATACTATATGCTTCTTGAGCAGCAGTACTTCTAGTAGTAATAAGATGCATAAAGACACATTAGCATGTTTGGAATAACTTTGGCAACAGAGGCAAATAACCTAAAAGTACTGTCTCATCAGTGCAACTCACACTGTTCAAGTTTCAAATACACCATAAACATTTTCCTATATTTTTCAAGATTTTACTGAAACACCAATGTCCATAGCTATGTTAGCTTTTGCGAGAATTTCCGGTGGGAACTTCACAATATTCTTTCATTTTGTATGAACAAATCACTCCAACAATGATTATGCGATAGTAATTAGATCCACTATTTATCTAACATTATATTGACAAATTATGATTGCAATGCATCTTTTCACTTTAGACACAAGATAAATTATAAAATGTTTGGAATGTTCATTTGATTCAGCAATGAACTAGTAAATCAAAGTTTTGGATGCACTAAAGGCTTCTATTTAGCGCCCTTGAATACATACATTACTATTGTTACTTTGCAATTTATTGAGTTTTCACATTAATCAGTTGTAAATAAGTTGTTTCCAAAAATTAAAATTCATTGAGGCAGTAAGGGAACAAACCGACTGGCACAAAATGCAAGCAGTCCTGGAAGTTTTGAAAATGCTGTATATGAATTTTCCATTTCCTGCTAGCCAAACAGCAATGAAAATTCATTTGGGATAGTAACAGGAGCTGATTAGTTTACCCACATATCACAAAGTGGAAGTTGCCATACATATGCTCATTTTCTACATTTTTGAGCTGTTCCAATAAGAATGAAATTGTTTTAAATTAAGGCGGTAATTAAAACAATGTCATTCACTAGAAAAATTATTATTCTACTTCAGAAATGTACACATATTTAATTCGAACACATTAACAAGACCAGTCTTAAAATTTGTATGGAAATCGTTCTCAGCTGATTCCATCCGATTGAAATGCAATGTTCTGCAGCATGCAATGCAGAAAACTTTTCGTTACATTCTACTATATATGTATCTTACAATAGTATTGGCAATAGTATTACAATAGTAATAGTATCATTAGATAATCAAGAGTGTTTAAATCTGGGGAGATATGAGATTCAGTAATTCAGAGTTATACTAATCTTTTAATCCTGAATAAGAACCAACATGCCCAAAACAAAGTTTTATTAACTTAGTTAATTGTAATATTTAATGTAATAATTTCTTAAAGTCTTACCTCAGAAAATCTAGAGATGTTTCTACAGTGTCTAAATTTGATTTGGCTGTATCAATACTCTTCTTCAAAAGTGCCATTGCGTCATCCAGTGTGTATTCAAGCATTACATTAGCCTAAAACATTACTTATGCATTAGACTTGCATGGGAAATATGAATGTTCAATACGTACCATTAAATACATGAAACTTACACCAAGCCACAGGCATACTTTATCCGTAGGTGATATAGTAGCTTTCATGTAAACTTGCTCCGATAACAAAAATTGAGTTTCAATGTCCTTAGGAGAATCTTGTTGCTTTTTTAAAAGAGTAATCATTTTCAGAGAGTTCTCAAGATCAGGAATTTGTAGCCTCAAGCTGAAAGCAATTTACATGTACACTTAACCCTTTACAATTTTATCTTGCTACAAACAAAGAAATCAACATACCGTCGTCGCTTTGACATGAGATTATATTCCATAAATTTATATTTGCTATGTTGTTCATCTAGTCTTTTTAAAACTTTGTCTGCTCCTCCACTGTTTTCTTCCAATGCCATAAATGCATCAACATCATCCTGGAATAAAATAATGTAAATTACTAATACCCCCTAAAAGTTAAAAAAGAAAATAATGATATGCATTTCACCAGTTAGGGTTTAATTGAAATTTTCACATGGGAAGCATTTAAACACAAATCAATAAAGACTACCTAAACTTTGGAAATTTTAAAAACTTCTGAATGTTAAGATGTTTTATATATAATTAATTTTTAACTTAAAGTTAGCATTCTTTATGAAGGTGAATCAATCTTATAATGAGAGAAATACTGTGCACATGTTTCCCCGACATCAATTTGACATTTTCATATTCCAAATTTGTATTGGGAACAGGCAAACCTAAGCCACATTAGCTTAAAAATCATATAAACTGTAATCGAAATATGCAAGGCAAAATACAAATTATAAATTAAGCTTTGAAACATACTTTCAAAGCGTTAAAAGCTAAAACTGGTGAATAGTTCGTACTTATGAACTAAGGTTCTTACAAATTAATGAAACAGGCGCTATACAGAGGTTAACATAACAAAAGATTCCCTTCGCTTCATATGTAAGTTGTCTTCCCAGATTTCATACACGTTATTTAACCTCGACAGTTTTACTCACCACAAAGCGTGCTTCTGGAATTCCAGACAATGATTTATTTTTCTCATCGTCGCCTGCGTTCTTACCATCACCCATTTTGTTAAGTTAAAGGAAAACCAATGAATACTAGGAATATTTACGATAAAAACTGCACGACACTTTCACTTAGGTATTCACTATATAAAAAATCTTCATCCAGAGCACTAGTAAATGACACTTTCACGTATGTTTTACACCCTGCGGTCTTAGTTGACTATATAAGTCGATCGCCGACGTGTTTTCGTTTTGCTTCCCAATGGTTCCGTGATATGAATCAGAAAGATGAATTCTCAGGTGTATCGTGAACGAATCAATTTGAGGTCGCATTTGAATCGTAAACAGCGCGTAGTTCAGAAACGTTCAGTGCATGCATCTGGTTACCTTCATAATAACTGTGATTTACTCCAGTGGTAGGTGGACTGAAAAAGACGCGGAGGTAATGGATCCTCGTACTATCTTGGACGCCACTGCCTCTTCCTTTACGAATTCGGACGAAGAGCAAAAAGCCGGCTTGCTTAGGTGAAACTCGTGTTGTAAGAGACACCTTACTTCCGTAACTTGAAAACCCAGGTAAGCTCTGGCAGCTGGCTCCGGCTGGCTCTCAAGTCCTTCGTTGGCAATGTTGGTTATGGAGTATTATCCGCGCAAATTTTCTTAAGCCCTCGCTTCGCTAGTTGCGAGAGGAGTGGAGAGTTGGGTTATTTTGAAATCAAGAAAGAATTTTCCATCAAATTTGTTGTTCTCTTTCGATGCCAAATAAATTCTATTACACGAGAGAGAACATTCTGGTTATCAGATTTTGTCTACAACGTTCGTGGCTATCATGTGTTCTTAATTGAACTAATGTTGGCAAGGGAGTGGGTAGGTATTTCGGGGCTCAAGAAAACGTGCGCGTATAGAACATAGTTTCGGTTTTGGAGAAGTTGAAGTAAATAAATATTTGGTATACATTGCGCCAAACTGATGTCTTATGCGCAATGAAGTTTAAGTTACTGTGGTTTAACTTACCCAATGTAATTAAATTTTTATTTAATACATTACAACAAAAAGGCATTTTATTTTCAATACAATTCGCATAGGTTTCTGCTCTCGTTTATCAAGCGCGGATCCACGAAGAGGGAAATGACCCCCCCCCCGTTAAAACGTTTCTGTTAATTTCAACTTGTCACACAACTTTAAGCAGAAATATTTTCTGATGATCTTTAAAAATAATAAAAACGTATCGCAGCATGAGCTGAGATACGCCTGCGACATTTTACGAAATCTGAAATGACTCACTCGACCAAACAATTTTAATTTCCCTCCTAAAATTTGTCTCTGTATCCGCCCCTGCATTGAAGTAGATGCAAGAAAAGTCTGGGTGGGTGGGTGTCTATTTAATCGCCAGTACTTTCAAGTCAACTCGTTTGTTGAAACAAATAGTTTTTATTAAGCTTCAGCGAAAATTGATTGTTATCGAATGTTGTTATAAACTGTCGTTGCTATTATCGATAATTCAACTGTGTTAATAAAGGACAGGAGGTAAGGATTCAAGAAAACATACGCGAATAATACATACACGATTTCTGTTTCAAATGTCCTACCCTATATTTAAAAGCACATTTTATTAATATCAGAGTTTGAAATATTAATGAATTTCAACAAACATTGCAATTAATAACTCTTCTAATACTTTTTATGTATGACGTAGAAAGTTTTTCAGGACCTTGGCATAATTAGCAAACAAGAAAATATTTATTGAAACTTATGAAATGAATTTTCTTTGGCGAATAATTTAAGATAAAGAGGTTTTTATATATGGATAAGGGACGTAGTTTTGTAACATATTTGTAATTTAAAGAATTAATGTGAGATAGTTCGATATGTTCTTTATTATTTATAAATATTTTTATGTACAGTATTTTGGTATACTCTCCCTTTCAATTCACGCTCGTAAACTCATCTCGTTCTTGAGGCCGGTGATTCGTACACTCCCTGGGGCACGGAGGGTGTCACGTGGCCTTGGCGCGTGGAGCGGGGCGCGGGTCATTCTGGACGCTGTAGCTCAGCTCCTGGCCCTCTACCACGGTGCGCACCGACGCTACGCCCTCTGGGTCGCCCTTCGGACCCTCCAGCGGCTCCGCCTCGTCACTGCGCACGCACACACACACATACTTCATGTTATATTCCCAGTCAAGCTGATTTCACTCATGCTGTTTTTTTAAATATCTTGGTGCGCGAGGCCTTGTCTTCACGATGGAATATATCACGGTATTTTGTGTCTTTCTCGACTGACTTTGATGACTGTGCCGCTAGATGTCGCATGATCGTATCGAGCAGTGCTGGCGATCATGCAGCATCTAGCGGCACGACCGAGAAATACCGTGAAATATCGTGGAGACAAGGCCTCGCATGCCATGAAATAAAAACTCCAGTATAAACTGTCAAATCTCCCAGGGAGAGGAGGCTAGGAGGGCCTCAGGTCAGTCCTGATTGGATTAGAAACGTCCACCCGATTTTAAAGTTTCTCGAGGATACACAACGTTTCTTGGTCCAATGATATTTGAGTTAGGGAAATCTATTAGTGATCGCGTACTGGCGTTATGCCAGTTAAAATTACGAAGGCGGGTGCAGTTGCACGAATTTTGAGATGCCCTTTTTGGTCTCAAACCCTTTGATGCAAAGGGCAGAACCTAACTGTTAACCAAAGGGATGTTTGAAATACGACGCAGGCGTCAAATTTTCCTAATGTTGTATTTCCATTTTGTTAGGAGTTTTGCTAATTCCTTTTGGTCATTTGCTTATCTTAAAATTAATACGTATGCATAATTGGTCAAATGTGTTAGACATGCCTTGAAAAAAATTGTTAGAGGAATCCAACCACTGAAGGATGAGATAAAATAATGTCTAGGTTGAGATACCATAGTGATTAGCAATTATTTTAACAACAAAAGGGCGATATATCGATATACTATTGCTAAAAGTCTTCTCGAGCAATTACTCTTGTCTTGATCGGTTTTTTATAGAATTTTCCAAAATGGAACAAATGCAGGTCTCTTGTCTTGTTTGTTGCAAATGCAATTGTACAGGATTCATCACTCTTTCTGCGCCTTCGACCTGACGATACATTAAATAAGCTGTGGGGTAACCTATCATCGTTATTTCATATTTCTTCATTAAATGCTCACACAATTTTTCTAAAGAACAGTGACTGAGTGAAGTACAGATTCAGAAAATAAGTCAAGAGGCGTTTTCAAACTTCAAGGGAACCGTTGAAAAATTATTTCAATTTGTACATTTTTTGCAATTGCGTATTATAATTTATTAACAATTTAAAATAATTTCAACAATACTTTCATTGGTATATGTAGGATGAAATGGAAGTAATTTAATATGTGGAAGTTTATTACAAGAGGCAACATGTCCAGATTTTTTTCTTTTATAAAGGAAATAAGGAAAACTATGAAAGTAAAGGTTTCCAATTAATAGAAGTAATTTTTACAGACTGTAAGAGGCTTTCTTACGCGTTAGTTGTAGTAAATACAGTTTTTTTTAGAAAATTGCAATAATATAATGAACTTGTGCCTTTAGTTTGCCTTACATGTGACCAACCATTCACTCCGTCAACACACCAACCAACCAGCCAGCCAACTCAGCAGTGAGCCAGCCAGTCAGTCATTCGACTAACCAACCAACTAATCAATCAATCATCATTCAACCAACCAACCGTCCAGCCAACAAATCACCGAGTCTGCCATACACCCAGTTAGGCAGCACACGGCTTGCGATAGAAAGGGCTCACCTGAGGACGCGGTAGCCGTTCTCGTCGGCGACGTACTTGACGAGGCGGCGCACGTAGCCGTCGCTGTAGGCGAAGGAGCCTGACACGGCCAGCCCGTCGCGCGCCTCCTGGCGGTGCAGCGTGAGGTCGCTGACGCGGTCGTCCACGTCCGCCTGGAAGGCGTAGTGCGCGTTGGCGTTCTGCTTCCTGCTCCTCCTCCGCCTCCGCAGCGCCGCCGCCGCCGCCGCCCGCCCCCGCGCCCCCGCCGCCCCCGCCGCGCGCGCACCCACACCTGCCGAGCGCAATGCAAGCTTAGGACCCATTCACAATGCGTGCGCATAAGAATAACACGTAAGACGATATCTAGAAAGCTTCAAGCTTCTGTGCTTATGCTTAAGTATGGCATAAGAAATGAACCAATCGAGTGCACACCCGCACGCACATACACACGTACACACTCACGCACATACTCGCGTACATACTCACATACACATTAGCACTCACACACACACGCGCGCGCGCACACACACACGATAAAAATACCTCCTACTACTTAAAAGTAAAAACTACCTAAAAGTAACCACGTTCACTAGTAACTGTCTAAAAATATGATTGTTTCATGACGTAAAATGACACAGCAACAACAACAACAACAACCACAACAACAACAACAACAACAACAACAACAACAACAACAACAACAACAACAACATCCGTGATCGTTATTCACAGTACGTGGTATTTTCGACGGTAATACTTTCTGTTGATGCTTGAATTTCAATGTTGTTTGATCGACATCAGCCCTATACTTCGAAATTTTTCATGTAGCACTCTCAGAGAATAAAAATACTAAATTATTCGTAAGGTCAGGTTTTGAATATTCAGAGATTTGGAAATTACATCTTAAAGAATCGTTTCGCACAGGGCAGCAGTGATTTAAAATGGACCTTTTATGTCTAGGCAAATAAATCAAGATTTTTTTTGGAACTTTTTTATTTACACCACCACTATCCATAATTTAGAACCAGAAAAAAATACGCGGAGTTGTGAGGCAAAAGGAAAGTTAGTAGCAAATATTTGCGAAGAAAAACTTTTTTCGCATTAATTTTTTTATAGAAACAATTGACTCTGAATTGAAAAATCGTAAGCTATATAATTATAATTCTACTGAAACGTCATTAGTTTAATTTTTTCGTATTAATTAACTTAAACCGTTATTTCTTTTACGATTATTTTGAAAGAATGTAAACAATGCTAGAAACTACGTACATCAGAAACATTTGACAGTTTCTTGAGAACCGTTAGTCTGGTTCGCTATTATCCTTTGCGGTATGACATATACTATTTTCTCTTTCGTTGAGGCCAACTTTCTCTGAGCTAATAATGAGGACACATCTATTATTACTAAGCAAATATTGAGAACGCTTTATTTAAAAGATCCAGCAGTGAAGTCAAAATGAGAATTAAACTTTAAAGTTCCAAATCTTTTCTAAAATCCTGAAACTCGTTATTATTTAAAATTTATTTTAATGTACTCATGAATTCCATGCATTAACTAAGGGGAATGCTCAGCATTCCGAAATTTTTGCTCCTTAGTGCCACTAGTTATTATTCAATTACTCATATTTTTTAAAAGAAAAGTGCATGATATAATTTAAAGAGTTAAAATAGAAGATTAAATAGCATTGACAAGAAACACATGACTTTAATATTGGTGTAGAATATGCGCTAAAACTTAAACTTTGAAAATTTCAAAATTCTATAGATTTTAATAAAAAAACGAATCTATAACCAATTTTATGAATTCTCTTTATTCTCGCAAGTGCAATCAAATGCGAGGTTGAATGTGTACTAGGCTGTGATAGAAACTTGGTGCCAGAGTTCAAAAACACAGTGGAAAAAAATCAAGTTTTGGGCAAAAGGACTAATTATTAATGTTTATAAAAAACTAACTTCATTAAAATTGTATGCTTGTATCATAAATAATAGCAGATAAGGAGAGACAGCCGGTACGTCGTTCCGGGACCCACGAATCTCGGGAGGGACCGCGGGGCTCGAAGACGCCAATGAAACCTGGCGCGGCCCATAATTTTTATTACAATTTGAAAATGTTTTTGTTTATTTAATTATTACCACTCCTCATCATTAAGAGGTGGATACTGATGACCTAAAACATTGCCTAAAATGATCAATAAAATGCTCTTAAAATGTTTTGAAAATTCCCTAAGCCAAAGAAAAATGGCGTAAAAATGCTGATGAAAACGAATTCGGATGAACAACTCAAGCTGTTGGATGCGTTACTAATGTAATGGAATCGTCTTTTATTCGTTCAAGTGTACTCAACCTGCAAACTTTTGGTTTGGACTGTTCTATGCCAGAAAATCTGTCTGTAGTTCTCCCGAAATCGGCTGAACCAACAATGGTGCTGACAGGAGTCACAGGAACCTTGAATTACGTATTCATAATGACAGACATTACAACTTCTGAGCGAAGAAATCAAATAAGCTTTTACGTATACGTTCTGAGGAATTCTGTCGAGAACATTTGTTGCATCTCGAAAATATTATTTGTAGCAAGTACCATGTAAATATTAAAATCAATGAAATCAGCAAAAATGCATTAAAAATGACGGGAAATGTAAAAACATGATTAATTAGTCGAAATGGACGAGAAATACAAAAAAATTACATTAAGATGGATAATTTCCTTTTGTCATAGCATAAAATGAATTTCTATACTCAAGGGCGTTTTTCTAAAGTGAAAAGAAAGAAAAAATGACATTTTTTAAAATCCGCCCCTACTTTTCATTTTATAGTTTTGTAGGTTATATTTTTGAAAGTAAAAGTCAAGCTCCGGTCACAGAGCGTATTGCTTAACTGAGACACCGGGAATTCAGGAAAGTGGACTAGTTCCGGTGCGGTCGAGTGCGGAGGATCTAACTATATCAATACAATGCTATCGTTTGTAATATTAATTATACATAGGTCTGTAGAAATGTTTGTAAGAGCCCACATATTACATTTTGTCATACTGGTCCGTGGTTTCCTGTCGGCGGTCCTGTTGCAGAGAAGTTAATTTTTATTGTATATCGGTTTAGAGAAACAGACGTAGCGTATTAATGGGATAAGAAGTACCCCATTAGTACGTTACGTCATAGAAGATATAAAATCATCAAAAAACAGTATTTGATGTTGACCTTTCAATTCTGTAAAAAAAATAACGAACAATTCTTTGTACACTGTAAAAGGCATATGTAAATAACATCAAGAATAATTTAAATTAATTGAAGAATGGTCCTAATTAAAAAATACACTTTATATAATAAGTATTTTTGCGACGGTCCGGGAGGGGAAGTGAGAATTTCTATTTCCCAAATTTCTAATGCAAAGATTTTTTTTTTGTTTTCACAAAATAATCTTACACCTCTTAACTACATCGTAAATTGTAATAAGAATAATGATTTTATTCTAGCTTAATATCCAGTTCCACGTTTGGTGCATGTTTGTTAATTCACTGAAATTTTCATTGTTATGTGCACAAAAGATACAAACTGAGTACAGAGAAACTTGATATTTGTAACATTTCTCAAAGCACTGCGTGTGCAGAATCGAATACTTCAAACTCCAGCTTCAAAATTTTCTCGTCATGCTTGAAAATTTTACTGCGTAGCATAAAAAAGTAGTAAAAACTGTACTTGTTAAGTCTTTCATGGAAAGGTAAAAAAACATTCCTTTCCCTGGTCTTCAATACGGATCAGAAGGCATTGAGAAGTCGAACTAAGATGGCACGTAACGGTAAAGGCTGGAAATATGACGAACAAACTATAAATAACATCTGCATTTTGCTATCCACAGCATATAACATCTAAAAAAACAAGTTTCCCTCTGTTCAATTTGTACTATTTTTCAAATTGGAATGTAAAATAACATATTACTTTGGTGCTCCGTCAAGGTCTGACCCTTCATGATCTGCGTCTTCAGAGTTATCACGCTGCTTTTTTGTCATTATGTCCAATGCCTTTCATTCCACATTGAAGTCCTCGAAAGAGACAAAAATAATCAATTTTCTACCTTTTTTAAGTAAGATTCCACAACTTAAATGTAAGTTTTATTTTTGACGATTCGAACAATACGTGGGAAACGTTTGAAGCAATTCTGAGTTAATTCCACACTAGTCAGTAAAAATATTTGGCCGAGAAATAAACTGTTCTGTTGATAGTAAAACCGTTCTCTTTCAAAATTATGTATATTTTTTAGACGTTCCACTTTATTGTGCACAGAAGATTTCCGTAACTGTCATTCACCAACGCTGTGTTTGCATATATTTTTAATGAATGTGCAAAGACCTTGAAAAAAGTAAAATAGCTCTTAAACGAAATCTAAGTGCGACGCGCGCTGCGCTACAGCTCTCACCGTGGCCAAACAGACGAGCGCGTAGATCCTCATGACGAGTGTGGTGTCCGTCAACTGTCGAATGTCGCGGGTCACGGCCGCCTAAATAGCGCCGGCGCAGGGCGAAGTCGCCAGGTGGTGGGGCGGGGGGCCGGGGCATTCCTGGCAACGGGCAGGCCCCACGTACTGCAGCGCCGCTAGAGCACCGCTAAGGGAAAGTCTTCCGGGGCGGATGCAAACAGGTCATCTCCTGTTTACGTTCGCCCTGACGTCTAACGAGCGATGGACGTGAAAGCTTGTAATTGGCCATTGATTCGTCGCCGTGGTTTTGTGCAATTAATAAGGAAAAATAGATATTTGTCGCCGACATTTTTTTATTGGCTATTACAATTATTTTAATTGTTATGTTATTGCTATTACAATTAATTTAATTATTTATTATTTTTTGCTTGGCATTTACAATTAACAAAGCCATCACAATGAGAAAATACGAATCATTTTAGGTGCCCAATTTGTTTTTAACACTTCGTGTGTGTTTGTGTATGTGAGTGTTTTAGTATTCGCTCTTTGAAAGTGTACGAACGCTGGCTTCTGGGAGCTAAGATTAAAAGTTGCTATTCCAAGCCGAAAAAGGATATCCTTAACTCTTGTTATATTAAGAACTTGTTAATTCCACGAATAATCGCATTTGAGGGTACAAATTACAACGCCGAAAAGAAAAAAAACAAACAAAACAACAAATGTGAATCGTGTCGCATTATTCTATTCTCCTGTAATAATTCAATTCTGTAATTGATGTAGTTCTGACAGTAGAA